GACAAAAAAGGAAAAAACGTAATTAAAGACATTATCCCACAAAAACAAAAAACGTCAATTAAAACCAAAACACAAATCAGTAATCAAAAAATTTTAAAACTAAACCAGGCAACCGATTTTGAAAAAAATTTTGTGAGACCAATCTGTAAGTATATCCTTTCAGATAAAAAAAATATTTTTTTAAATCGATTTACAACTGACGGAATTATGAAGTAACAAATATTAAAAAAAATACAACCGAATTGCAAAACTCCTTATTTTTGAAGTCGATTGAGGAAGACTTTATACAAACGTCGATTGCTTGGATACCTCTGTCCCATTCGTGTTTCTACCGTGAAGCAGTTGTGTTTGCATAGCTGTGTTTCGGTTTGAAGGGTGGAATATGGCGTGAATTTACTGGGTACGGAGGAATAACACCTGAGTCCTCAGGAATGGCAACGCATGGGGGGTATCATGGGCGAAACAGTATACTCTGTTATGTCCATGGTACTGCTCATGTCTATAGGCAACGGTTATCACTTTCCATCAGGTGGGCCGTCAGCTTGTTTGCCATTCTAAGTTGTATAAAAAAAAACGGGATGCTATAAAACCATAATTAAGACACAAATAAGGAAGAGAGGAAATTGGCTAATTGGGCCATTCGGACGAATGAATCAGATGGTAATACAAAACAGACAAACAAGAAATTGGATCATTATGTGAAAGTCTACTTAAAGTCTCTAAAGATTTTATGAATATTCATTATTATTGTAATATTATTCTTTGCGGTCGTTACTGTACCCAATTATTATTATTTCTAGTAACCTGCAACTTTACACATTTAATCAGGACAAAAGTATACCTCGCTTTAGCTTATAAAACATTTTTCAGTGTTGACAGTATAAGCATGTTGTTATGTCATTCATGCGGTCATTTTATTTTGGTGGTGCTTCGATTGATTGTGTGCAAAGCAAATTGTCAGCGATATTGATGTTAAAATTATAGTTAAAATATATATTTTTTTTATTATTTCACTTTATACGTAGCGATGCACGTACCGGACCGCTAGTATTATATATAATAAAAAACAAATATATTTATGTTATATATATATATATATATATATATATATATATATATATCAGAATATGTTCTATCTATGTATCAAACAATGTAAGAAAATTTTCATAATCAACTAATATAGACTATATATACCTCTCTCCTACTTTATTATTATGGAATGCAATAAGAAATAAATAAATAAATAAATAAATATTTTTTTCGAAAATTAATTTATCCATACGAAACCGAGCTAAATTACCAGTTCTATATAAAAAAAGCTATCTAGCCAGCGTATACATACATATAAATAGCGTAAGCGAAGTAACCGTTCCATTTTCGTTTCTGAAGAATAAAACCATACAAATAAAACTGATTTTAAAAAGTTTTTAAAAACACCTTTAAATTCAAAACACATGTCTTGGTAAACCATATAAACATTTCAAAGAGTTCTGAGACTTAAAATCTTCGAGTAGCGAATTTGCAATATCGAGATGTCAACATTAGAAACATCAATAAACGTTGTATTGACTTCGGATTCTCACCCTTCCATGAGCCGTTCTCTCGACGATGTGGCGCCATATCATTGAGGCATAATATGTTGGTAGAATTGACACTCGTGTGAATTCAATAATAAAAACTTTAATGCCAACCCATGAAAGGTAACCAACTATGTAGCTACACTAACGTCTTATGTCCAATTCGTGTCCCATTAAATCAGTGTTTGCAAATAATAAACATTGCAATGTAACGTGATGAAATGGGGGGAAAGGGATTATTAGCAATTGAGTTTGGTAGTCCCATTGCTAGCAATATATAGCCCTATCAGGTCGACCTCCGCGTGGTTTCCCCTGGAAACCATCGTGAACAATTCTTGTTGAATTCGTCACGATGGGCTAACTGATCTGTTTCATCCTCATCTATCATCCTTCATTGGTGCCCCGCCGGTGTATACCGATAGCGAGGGTGGGGTTACTATTTCATTATCCCCCCCCAAAAAAAAAAGTGATGAAATGAACCGAAAAAAAATCTGGTAACGCTGACATTACCAAGTTGAGTATTTTTTTTCAGTACAGTGTATATGTATTGAAAAAAAAATAAAAGAATGCCACTTCTATCAAGTACATATATTTATCCTTATGGTTAAGACTTTTTCGAAGTAGGGATTGACTATGTCTAGTAGTAATATCGATAAATGTTGTTTTATGGATGTTCATATTTTAGATAACGAAGCGAATGATTATTTAGTAGCCAATTAAAACTCAACCAGGCAAAAGTAAGCGAATCCTCTTTTTTATTTATTTATAATCAGTAAACATTGTATTAACTTTGGTATTCTCTCTCTTCCACCAGCAGTTCAATCTCGACGATGTGGCGCCGCGTCGCTGAAGTTCATCCGAATTAGGGATTGACTATGGTTAATATCGACAAATATTGTTTTATTTATTATCATATTTTTAATAACAGGTGTTATATTTTACTTAAATTAAATATTCTTTTAATGACTTCAATAAAATCCCACTAGGCAAAGGCAACACAGGCTATTTAATTACTTTTTATACATTAACATTATAAATTTTACTATATAGAAAATAACAATGTGAAAACGAAAAAGTCGCAAGTAATTTCAATTAAAACTACTTTGAATAAAATAAAATTTGATTATAATTTTGTTATTCTTCTTAATATTACAATTGTGGAGAGGGATATAGACTAATAATAGTCCAAATATTTATTTTCAATATGTAACTAAATAATTAATAGTGGTTAGTTGATTACAATTATTTTGTTTAGTTTAATTGTGTTGGATCTCGTACGCTACTACTAATGGTAGCGGAATTAAACAAAATAATTCTAACCAGTAATATGGACTTCCGCAAAATTAATATATATTCTTTATTGCACTTGTAAGTTACATATAAATTATATCTAGTTTAGTAAAATAATTAATACTTTTTATTTATATTCAATACATTGGTCACACAACTAAATATATCAAAAGGCAAATTAGTAGCTAAATATAAAATAATAAATATATTTAATTACTTTTATGTCGATAACCTCTTCTCCCTCACTATCAAACGTTAGGGAAAATTCAAGTTAAATTTACTCTTTTTTTAATATTCATTGTTTATTTTCGGCCACCGCTGAAGGGATCCGATTTCAAAATCGCTCTGTGTCCGGCGACTTTGCGACTGAAATCGGTGGCATTCTAGAAATTTTATTTTATTTTTAATTTATTGTGACGAGCTGTGAAATGTCAGAAAAGGCAAAGTTTAGTAGCACGTTTATTACTAGGGGTAGAGTATAAACAGAATTATTTATATATTTTAGTTATAATACTACTATGATATTGGTTCAATAATGAATATGTTAAAAGTTTGTTATCCAAAAAATAATATTGTATAAAAGTCTTTTAACATATTTGAAAGTAGATATCCGACCGATATGTGCGATATCGAAATGGGTGATGACCTTTTTTCCGCCATCAATGTGCAGAAACACCCAATACATAGATATATCTGTATAACTCATGCTTAATTGTTACTGTTCACTTTTTTATGTATATTATGCGATATCATATGTGATTGTCAACAGACTTCCATGATTATTCTCTGAAATCAATAGAGTTTACACATGTTTCGATGATATACTAATTTTACCAGAGGGAGACTGTACAAAAGTCGATTGCTTGGGTATCTCTGTCCCATTCGTGTTTCTACCGTGAAGCAGTTGTATTTGCATGACTGTGTTTCGGTTTGAAGGGTGGGATATGGCGTGAATTAACTGGGTACAGAGGAATAACATCTGAATCCTCAAGAATAGCAACGCATGGGGGGTATCATGGGCGAAACACTATACTCTGTTATGTCCATGGTACTGCTCATGTCTATAGGCGACGGTTACCACTTTCCATCAAGTGAGCCGTCAGCTTGTTTGCCATTCTAAGTTGTATAAAAAAAATTTTGTAACGACTGAACCAACTTTACAAGAACTATAAGTTCATTGATTTAAATTTTTGGGTCTTTGTGTAACTTTCTTAATGGAATGAATATAGAATAGTAGTTCCGCTTGCATTATCGGTATACGCTGACGGGGTATCAATGAATAATAATAGATGACCACGAATTAATCACGATGGTTTCCGGGGCAACCGCGTGGAGATGAAATTAACAAGGCAGGTAAACTGATAGCAATGGGGCCCGTACTAGTCTCCGTTAGTAAAAATTTCTTCCCCTCAACATTATTATTGTTGTCGAGTTTATCTTTGACTAAATCCCCTTAGAATTATGGTGTACAAACTTTTACAATTAAGAATTAACGGGAGTGTTTATAAGAGACTAAATTAATTGTGCCAACAATTTAACGCATTAATTACTTCATACAATATTAAAACAAGCCCCCTAATTGAGTGCTTCATTATGACACTTTAATCTTTGATGAATTTATGCTTAATTTAATGTAATGTGAGTGACACTTATTAATTACTTATTAGTCGCTACCTCCGAATCTGTATGTGGTAAAATGCTGCATGCTGTTTCTTTGCAATAAAAGGAAGAGAAGCGAAACTCTTAGATATTAGAATTATTTGAAAAAAAAACCTATATCCAGCACAATCTAGGTATAGCTTTGTTATATAAGTATATTTAAGAAGGAGGACGAATGTAATTTAATTGAAACATTAGCTATGTTTATTTATATATTTATAGCTATGCAAATTTGCCGTGTGCATCCAGCATAAAATGGGTGTCGTAAAAGGCGTCTAAAGGAACGTAATGATCGAGTGATAGGTAGCAGCGTTCCTCTTTAAATATCACCAAAAGCCAAACTGTGGTTGCCCACCCGCCTGACGGAATGTATACTTTTTTGCCACGTTTCTGGTATAAAAAATAATTACTTTTTATTCTAAAAATTTAAATTGTAATACACAGAAATATTTATCTGTTTTTTCTTTGTTTCAGATAAAAATGGTGCCAGTAATAAAAAACCTATTATTTAATTTTTAAATATAGAATTTATCAAATAATCAATAAATACGAATAGTTTAATGGGAACTTTCAAAAAAATAAGTATACATAAAAATAGCGACCGTAACAACAGTGCAGTAAAGTATAAACTTCACTAACAATGAAACTGAGCGTGAGTGCGTTCAGGGCACAAGCCACAGCGCACAAGAAGATTTTGACGTCGTCGTACCAGCAACACTATGGGAGCACCGCAGCGCCGCCTGTCTGCAATCCGTTACAACCGCCGAACTTCACTCCTCAGGTAAGTGAATACGAACTATATAATAGTGTCATACATTATTTTTCTCTCTTTATTATTTTTTTGTGGTTTAATAAGATTTTATCATGTTTTAAATTAACAAAATGAATCGGCAATTAAATAATAGGTATCGACATACTTGATTTTAATTGCCGACGTTTCGACGTGGATTGCACCATGTCATGGTCATAACAAGAATGAAACGAATGACATCTTCTACATCTTTAGTGCAAGTGTTTTACGAATCAGGTATATAGGTATTATTTAACTGCAATTGCATCACGTTAAATTTCGATAGTATATTTTAAATATATATCAACAACGTAAGAGTTTAATTTTAAACTCTTTTCTCATATTTTAAGGAGTACAATTAGAATTAATCTATAAAAACATATTAGCGATTAATAAAGCCAGTTTATTCAATATTGATTTGATCTTATAAAGAATAGTAACAAGTACATAGGTACATAACATTAATGAACTAAAATGTACAATTTGTTTATTTATGTGATATTTAAACGTATCGGATGAAATGTGGACTTATTTATTACCTGTACATAAAGTTATTTTTTACATGTGACCACATCAATCCGAGCGAACATAGTATGTGACTACAATAATAATGTGTCGTGCTGTAATAAGAAGAAATTAATAATAATATTGTAGTTTAACTATAACTAAATGACAGTAAAACTTGTATATTTCAAATATGATCCAATGAGTGGATTGGAAAAGCAGGCAACCAGAAAAAAAGAGATATTTTTTATACATAAAGAAAAAAGAAAGAAAAAATATATATATATATTTATATTCTTTATTGCACTTGTAAATTACAATGTTAATGCATTTATAAATATTGTGAGCAAGGGTGGAGTTATCTCTGACAGAGATCTCTTCCAGTCAACCCAATGCAGTTAGAAAACATGTTGCTATTATTATTTGATTTTATATATAATATTAATATTTAGTGTACAAAACAAATATACAGTTAAATAAAATATTAAGATACATAATAAAATATTACATAAATACATATACTATCAATAAATATAATATCTACCTACTTATACAGTGGATGTTAAAATAATATGAATATACTACCTAGAATAAAATTTAGTTCAATGATTTAAATAAAGTTTGACAGTTCAATTATAAAAATAAATAAATTAAGATTATGACTCAAACGAAAGAAAATGTAACTTCAACCTATTCTTGAAAGAGGTAACTTATATATATAATGTAATAATAAAAACAGTTACAACTAAAACATAAGAAAATTATGAACTTAAAGAAAAAGGAAATACAAAAATAAACTTATACTTAATTAGGAATTATACGACCAAAATAGTCACCACACAGACCAAAATGTTGATTTTCTGTAGAACCAATGGGAGTGGTAGATGGCGCTACCGAGTAGACATATTACTATTTGATTATATATATAATTATTTATTAGTATAACAATTATTATAAGTACTAAAGATTAGAAAGAAATATGATTAGAGAAATATTTCTTAAGAATGTTTTAGGGATCAAACTAAACACTACATTGAGATTTTGATAATTTATAATAAGTCTGTATGTATGTATGTACGTTTCTATACTCATCAATTTTGGCTGGTTATTGATAGATCATATACGTAGATATAATGACGTATACCAAATATAATAATCTTACATAACAGAAGTATTTCATAATTATATAAATAATTACGTATTACGTAATCTCATGTTTCGTCATACAATTTAGGGACGACATGAATGGATATTATTAAATACAAAAGGACATTCGTATGTAATGAGCATTCAAGCAATGAAAACAGTCAGCATTAGAAAGCTCGTTTACGACCACAATCGTCTTTAAGATACACCGAGCAATTAATAACATGTGTTCTTTAGAATTTTGTATGCTACAAAATGTCAAATCTCTTTACAAGAATTCAAATATGCTCGGTGGAATGTGGACAAGTCTTTCAAACGGTTTTGAAAAGAAGTAGATTCTTATTCTATCTATATATATAGATAATATATCTATCCTGCGCGCCTTAGAAACTCACGAGATAAATATGATTTATTCTTCCAATCGAGAATCGTCTGCTATCGGAAGGATTCTTGAAGTACAAGGTCATATTGCTCGACGACAGTCCGACAATCTGGACAAACTAATGGTCGTAGGCAAGAAAGTAAGTCTAAAAAGACCACGCAGACGATCGAAGAAGGTGTCACAGTCAATGAACATGGAAAATATGAAGTGTCGGACCAAGAATTAACCGCCGTTAAAAGAGACTGTCGAATACAAAATCGTTAATGTCCTCGGTAAGTTTCTGAAGACCATGTAAAATGGAATAACATCATAAGAGAGGAAGATAAATTAGACAGACTTTTTACATAGGACAGTTAAAGACCTTTAACTACAAAATGAAGAGGACGAAGAGAGAGAGAGATTCTAAATTCGGTTGTATTTTTTTATGTTTGTTATCTCATAACAGCCTATCAGTTATAAATCGAAAACGTGGAAAATTCTTATTTTATTTTAAAAAAGACATACAAAAATTACAGATTGGAGACCATAGAAATTTTATTAAAAATCAAAATAACTGGTTATGCCACATTTGATTTTTTTTTTTTGAGGAACACAATCTTTATTATATATTATACTATGATTTTTAAAATTATTGATTGAAATTTTTTAAAGTTAATGATTGATTTTAATTTTCTGATATATTGACTTGTAACACAGAATTTTAAATATTTTTAGGGATGTGTTTCCAGATTTTTAATTTAAAAAAGTATACGTTAAAATTTTTTTTATTAAAAATACAATACATTCTGTCGATTCTATTCAAATTTAGTAAAAAATGGATGTTGAAAACGTAATATGTATTTTATTTATCTCGTCGTCCTTATAAATATATAATAGTTTAGCCGCATTTGCATCGCAGTTATCACAGTTTTCAACACTAAGTATGCACCATTCCTACATGAAAAAAAAAAATGCATTAAAGAAAAAAGAACAAGAAATAAAAACAATACATAGTACAAAAAATTCAATCTAGAGACATCGAAAATCCTATTGAAAAAGCAATATCAATTTCCTTGTGTGAACTCAAAATTACTACGTCGAAGAAACTAGCGAGCAAAACTAGATTATAATTGAATTCACATCATCGACGTAGACGACTTAGGTTTTACTGTTGAAATGTTTCTCACTCTAAAATAGTTTCTAAATTAATTATTTAGAAACTATTTTAAAGTGAGAAACATTACAGATAACAGATACAGCCAGTTAAGTTAAAAAAAAAATAGATCATCTATTTTTTTTTAATATTATAAATATTGGAGTATCAGTTATTATTATTATGTCAGCCGTTAACTGCCCACTGCTAGGTATAAGCTTCCCCCATAAGGGGATTTTGCCAATAGTTGCTACACTTGACAAGCGGGTAAGCAACCGCAGTTAGGCTTTGAAGATGTTTAAGAAGGACGCTGCTGCACATATCTTGCTTATTAAGTTCCCGTAATCGCCTTTAACAACACCCACAAGACAGGAAAGTGTGGCCGATTCTATACCAGGGCCTCTAGACAAGTGGCAAGAGATAGAATGAGATAGCAACGCCGGGTGACTCGTTCCAACTCACGGACTCGCTAGCGATGTCGATTCCATCGACGAATTCGCTTGCCACTTGTCTAGAGGTCTAAGACCACATGGCAATCGAGTTTCAATAGTAAGACCGAGAGAAGATTTGATACATAATATCTACCACATTATGTACCGATCCAGTTTCGTAATGGGAAAATGATAGTTTCTCTTCTTAACTAGATTCTATGACAGAAAGAAAGTTTTTGTTGGAGCTACGTATATTGAAGAATAACTTTGTTAAGCTCTTGACCTTTTTAGTATGCCAGAGCAGAGAAGGTTATAAATTTTAATATGTATGGTTTATAAGAGATGGTAGTTAGCGCGGTCATTTAAGAAAAAGTGTACCTAATAATTTATCTGGTTTATCTCGATTAGTCATGACCACGGCTATTGTGACTTGGTCGAAACGTTGACATAACCCAGGTAAACTAACTGTCCACTGATGATCATAAGACTCCTCCATAAAAAGGTGGTTTGCAAGTAATTGCCACATTTGGCAGGTAGGTTGGTAAGTTGGCAGTTATATTTCAAGAGGGAGTTTGCTGTCCATCCCTCGACTATAATTAGTCGTCTCTTACGATACCCATAGAAAAGGAATATGCAATACAATTACGTAGCAGTGAGTTATTATTTTGTTTTATTAAAAAGACATTGCATTCGAGTTTAATAACCTTCTCCATTTTAATGTTAGTTGAAAATTAAAAACAGCCATAAAACACAATTGTTCTTTATTAAACTCATAATATTTTTAATGTTCAGATAGTAATAGAGAGAGAGTAAAGACAATGCAGCTTTTAAAAAACATCGCAAGTTGTCTGGAAGGCAATAATAATTCATTTTTATAGAGGGTTTTAGTTTTCAGTACTAGCTAGTAAACTTAGTAATAGTATTAACACAATAATACATTGAGTATAATAACAAGTCTCCCAGGACCGTGTTGTAATAAAATGACACTTTCTCTTAGAACATCTCTAAAAACCTAACTGCGGTTGCCAACTTGCCTGCCAAGCGTGGCAAATACTGGCAAAACACCCTCTTATGGGGAAGCCTTATGTTTAGCAGAGGACAGTTTACGGCTGAATAATAATAATAAAATATACCTACAATATTGGGGTGCGGGTATTTAGATTGTATTGAAAAGGGCTTATCTTTTCCCCCATCACAAATACTACATAATTATACCATTTCACAATAAATGATTGAGACACTATGACGTCAAATGGAAACAAACAAACTCAGTTTCACAAGTACGTAAGTAGAAGGAAAATGTTCGTACGTCATATAATGCCTTAAGTCCCCTCCCATCTAAAAGATTACAGGTATATATTACCGTCAATAATAATAAATCTCATATCATGGGAAT